ATTGATCACAGCAACGGATTATGCATTCTTCACTTTTCTAAATTTTGAAAATGAAGTTTGCAATATACCTTAAAAAATCAAAAATGCTGTCAATAAAAAGAAATCTGGACTGTTTATTTTCATTATTAGATTGCTTGCCTAGTGCAGCAAGAAAAGCATCAGCAATATAATTTATTTGAATTGATTATCATTTAATATCTTGATTTGCTTCATCAATAGACACTTTCTAAGAATTTAAAAAATCTAAAAATAAATTTAATTGGCTAAAGTTTTACCACTGTGATTAATTGTAGATAATTAACTGATTCCTGGTCAGCAAGTATGACTGACATTGAAAAGTAAATGTAATCCTCTGTCATGAAATCTTTAAAGATATTCAAAGATCTTTAAAGGCTTCAAGTTAAGAAGATGCACAACAAATTATTATGATTTTATAAATAAACTTATGAATTAATATGAAATTAGCGTACAAAAGTTATTATCGATTATGACAAAAATAAAATAACACAAAAAAGCAATAACACAATAAACCTTTAAAAATGGTTTTGGTGATGATTTCACTGTTTATATCATCAGTGAAAAACTTTTTTTATCATAATTAGGTAGTTTCCAGTGTTTTTCTAACTGTGAATGGTTATTGATAAAGTAAATTTCAAATCAAGAAATTTTCTAAATGAAAGCCATCTTTCAACATTAACTAATAAACAATACAAGAATAAGAGCAAATATGTTTTTATTTTTATATTTACAAAAAAATCTTCTTTTTTTTATTAGACTAATAGAATAAAAAGTTACAATAAAAACTTAATATAACATAGTTTGTTTAAATAATGTTAAAGCCTAATATATAAGCTATAATCGTTTACCTAGATTTTGTTTACGCAAAACTTATAAATTAAGTAAATTAATTACTATTAATTAATTTTTGTTCATTAAAAAGTAAATAATAATAATAAAAATAATAATCTATAAAGATTATAACAGACTAATTTATTAATCTGTTATAAATTATTATTTATTACTAAAGACTTATTTATTAATCTGTAATAAATTATTATTTATTACTAAAGATTAATTTATTAATCATAAAATCATAAAAAAAGTCATAGCAGATTTTATCAATAAATGCTTATATAAAATTCTATTTTTAAATCATTAAATAAAATCGGGAAGCATATATAATATTTTTAAATATTAAGTATATATAAATATGCTACTACTATTTCAAATATATAACAATTTTATTTTGCTTTATAAAATTTAACAGACAGTTTAATGCTTCTTCAATACGATTATCTAAAAAAAAGATTAAAATAATTTATTACCTGAACTTTTTTTTCCGTTATTTTGGTATTGTACAGAAAAATAACACAAGGTTTAAATATTATTAGATCGCCAGATTATATGATTGCATGAAATTATTAAACAAAAACATATAACTTAATTCTTATATTAAAATTACAGAAATTTGTTAAAACAAACAGAAAAGAAAGTTGTGATATGGTCAATGGCCTGTTTAGACGCAATCATTAGGAGCCTGAGAGTGATTTATAATATGATTAGTTAATTAGCTGGATTAAGGCAATTCAACTTTATTATTTTAGCACATACATTTCTATTATTTAAAATCATTTATAAATGCATTTTTATTTTTCCAAAATTATGTCCAATCCTAATTTTACTATCAATTATAAGCGGTTGTAGTCTTTGAGTTATAAATCTGGACCACTCAGTGACCAATATATAATGCAAGAGACAAGGTTCTCATTAAAATTAAAAAGCACACTGGAGTGCGATAAAGTATGTTTTGCAATTCTGGTGAGATAGATAGGAAAACTGCAACAGGATCACATGATTTTTAGATTTTTAGATTTTTTCTGTTAAAACTTATTTTTTCCATAAAAGTTTGATGCATATTTTTTGTGTAAAGATGGCGTTATGTTATACTTTAACTTTTTTAGATCAGTATAAAACTTTGTATAGTTTCTTTTCAACATTAAGTTAAAATAGATAAATTTTAAAAGTTTTGTTATAATGCTAATATAAAAGAAAAATATTTACCATTTTTATCATTTAATTTAACAATTGATTGTTTTGTCAAAATAACTTGAAGTTGAAGTAGAAGGCTAAATATTTATAATGAAAAAAGTATTAAGTAATTAGAAATCTGCATAAAAAATTAATTAAGAAAAAGTGGTTAAACTACACAAAATGTTAATTTTGAACCCCCCTTATCATAATTTATGTAGTGGTAGTAATAAATTTCTCCTCAGAATTGCGTTTATTATTACTGGCATTTTGAAGAGGCTCAGCACCAATTATCTAGTTTATCTCGTCAGATAAACATCATCAACATTTATGTTTTACCCTGCAATTTACACCTGGGCTTAAAAAAGGACTCTACTACAAACAGCCAAAACCCTAACTACACCCAAATTTGTAAAGCACTAATATTTTTAATGAACTATTATGGAAAGTAAGAAATTTAAATATCAAATAACATAATAAATTAAAAAATAATTAAATCAAAATATTAAAAGTTATTATACAAATATAAAAAGTAAAAATAAGCACTTACTATATCACTGGTCAAAAATTTGTTGAAATAAATAAATAAAAAATAATAAACACTATACTGCCGCCCTAAGTAAAAACGCAGTAAACAACAAAAATGACATTCTGAGAAAAAGCCACTTTTAAATTTTGTGTGAACCTTACTTGAATATAATAATTAGACTTTCATGCCACATAGATTATGAATACAAAATACTTCCTTTATTCAATGAAAATTTATATTTAACCAAAACATCAATATATAGGCTGAAAAATCACACACTGCTAATTTACACAATATTTCACAGCCGTCATCCTAGATAAAAACGCAGTATAATCAATACAAAAATGCATGCATACTCCAATATATATTTTTTCATAAATATCAATGTGTTTTTATAAAAGGCATTGTTAATCACAATCTAGCTTGATAATCAATGGTTTCCAAACAAACCTTAATTAATAGTGGAGTTATAACATAGAGCTAGACTGCGTCTAATTAATAGGAAGAATTTTGAGTAAAGAATACTTACAACCAACAAATATGATATTTATAACAACCAGTCCAACCCAGCAACATATTTTTTCCACGAATATCAAATAATACCATTCTCTTACCATTAGTTAGGAGTGCACTAGGGGCTCAAAAACCACAATTTACCCATTATCAAATTAATAATCAGTCTTTCCATCTCTTATTTTGTCAACTTTATTCAAAGTGTGTATAAGGTAGATAAAGTAAATTAGATTTTTTAAAACGTTTTATTAGAATAAAAAAATACATATATAATTGAAAAAATATATAATATAAATGAAATTATATATTTTTTAAATTGTTTCAGAAAATTCTCCTGCTGGCTGGCATTAAACTCGATAAATTCGACAAAATATCATCGATTTTGTCTTGAGCCACCCCACGAGGCTTGTCCAACTGTGGAGGTTTTGATATTTTCTTTGTTGATGATTTCTTACAGAGGAAGTCTAATTGTTTTGTAAACTCCTCCGTATGAGAAGTTTTGTATTTCATTGTAAATTTACCTCTGCGTGTTCTCACTGCTACAATGTTCTTCAGATATATTTTTTCAGAAGATTTCTTTAACTTCTGTTGGGATTTGTTATCTTTCCACATGTATATATCTGAAAATGTCATTTCTTTCACATCCACCTTCCCTTTATTAGCATTCTGTACAGCTTTGGAAAAATCAGGAAAATCGTAAACTTTTTGTTTCTTCATGGAGAGCTCCACCTGATGATGAAAACTGTCGGCACTCATATATGTATGTCCTGGCTCAAAGTATTTTAGTTGTATTTCATCCATATCTACTTCATCACTATTTACAATATATACTAAAAAAGACAGAAGGCACCAATTTTTATTTTGGCTCGAACAATTGTCGAGCCAAAGTGTAATCTTTTTCGAGTCCCTCTGCTTCAAAAAAAAAGCATAAAATGTACTAACAATGTCCTCCTTGTTCCTCCCAGTTACACCTTCATGCCATATACATGCCATGGGAACACCATGTGCTTTCTTCCCAAGAGGAACGAAACTCTCGTGGTAAGCCACTATCCTCTTTGTAAATATAACTTTTTTAAATGCATCCAAACGTGGCAGCATGATGACTTTCTGTAAATCTACAGAGAAAATGCTGCCATCATTGAGCTCCGCATCCTTTTTGTATAATTCTCTTGCTTCTTCATATCTTATCTTGTGATTAATATATTGTTGGCAATCATCACAATCATTATTTAAATTATCTGCATCGTGACCGTGTAAACAAAATTTTTCACAAAATTCACACTCTTCATGGCCCAAAGTTGCAAATGAAATATTTTTTTTCTTTATAGCTAACCTATAATATTCGTATGATATTTGTTGTTCTGGGTATTTGTGTGTAAAATCATTGTGCATCATGGTGATGGTCACATCACTTGGCAAATATCTTCTAATAGGAGCATGTTCCCTCCTGTAATGAGATACAGTTGGTTCAAATGATTCGATGTGCGCATCTATTAAATCGTCATGTTTATACTTCCTATCCGAAACATGTTTGCCACGTCCATCAGCTAATGGGGCTATTGCGGCAGTTGGAGTTTTGTTAAGGACCTCAAATACTGCACGGTCATTATTTGGTTTGTATCCTAGTGTTGTTAGGAAAAACTTCTTGCACACGGACTGCTTGATTGAGTCTTTATTACTGAAGAAGTATTTCCAGGTGTTTTTTCGTGCACCATCTTCAACACTTTTCCTCTTTACAGGCATGCGATCACATGTATTGAGGATAAATGTCTTCCTCTCCTTCCAGCCTAATTTTAAATATTGGGCGTTAATTTCAATACGTCGTCCCTCATTTATTTTGCTAATGCATTTTTTTTTGCAACAATCAACAATTGGCTTTAGTGCATACTTTGCTTTATATAGTTGCATCTTACGTTCTTTTCTTTCTTTGACACTTAAAGAATTACTTCTGCGAATTCGTATAGTTCCCTTTTTAGTAAATTGGACCGATGGAGATGCAGCTTCGTCCAATGGTTTATCCACAGATTCCTTTAACACTGAAACAAGATAAAATTTAATTATTACTTCGTTTAAGTACAGAACACGGTACAACCTATGTTATACATATAATTTATATGTTATATAAAATATACATAATAGATATACCAATTTCTTCTCCATTTTCCACCACATCCACTCTACTCTTTAAGACATCTTCGTCCATTGAAGGTTGAAGTGTTGTGACAGACTCATCTAAAACTGATAATTTAATGCATTGTATATCTGCATAAAAAATGTCACACAAGTTATCATATAATAAAAAAAACACGTAATATTCTTACCAATATCTCCTCTATCCTCCATAATTTCTGCCTCATACACTACGACTTCCATTTTATCAACAGTTACTTCAGATACAACTGTTCTAGAATCCTGTAAAAGAAAGGGTAAAACATAACCAAGAAGAACCATACATTAGGTATTTACACAGTTATTTGTAGATTTTTTATAGTGAAACCTTGAGAAATTTGTAGAATATTTATTATTATGATCAATAAACACAATACACATAACCTTAGATACATAAAATAGATTGAGACTACGGAAATATATAAATAAAACACTTACATCTAACAATGAAGATTTACATTTGTCTGAAGCACGATGTAGCATATATTGAGTCCTTGACATCCAAGTGTTGCAAATATCACACAACATTTTATGATTTTTATAACACTCTACGATAAATTGAATAGTCCTAAATATAATTCACTATAAAAATAATCTTTACCGAAAAAAAAGAAACACCAAATACGAAAACACGAACGAACAACCAACGCACACACTAATCAGATGACGCTTGCAGTTGCAATGACGCCGTATTCGTCATAGATAACCCACGTTTTTGTCTGTGTTGCCAAGTTAAAAAGCAGTAAAGCAATGATACTATGAAAAAATGCAGTACGTACGTTGCAAATACTGCATTTTTAATTTGTATTGCAATAATGCTGCGTTTTTACTAAGTATTACACTATATTTTTTTAACTTACGGCAAAATGAACTATGGGTTTGATGACTGCGGAATATACCACAATATTTTTATATAGAGCGTTATTACACAGAAAACGATGTTAAAACGTTTGGTGCAATAATCTCGATTTTTCAATTTTTGCGATTACTGCGTTTTTTCTTAGGACGGCAGTATAGTAATAAGTTCTAAAAGAAAAAAATGTTATAACATAAAACTTTATTAAAACTACAGCTAATCACTTTTTGTAGAAATACACTCATCCCGATAAGATAGAGATATCTATGTAAATT